GGCTTTCAGTAGATTATCCTAGACATTTTCCCCATGTGAATCATGCACACAACACCTATGACAACTCTGCTGCTCCACAGCCGTCATGTGCATGCCTGTACATACTCACACTCCACAAATATTAGACCAAAGCAAGGGCTGGATCAGTACATGGCTGGGACAGCCTTATCCTCAAATTCCTGTACATAAACTGTCAGGCATATAAGAATGGCAGGGGGAAAAAAACCCCACTATTAATATATTATATAGTGTTTGCATTATATAGTTACTGCTTTTATTAGTATGAAAAAAGCACGTAGACAGAAGCTTTCCCCTAACAGGTAACCAGCCCCAGCACAGATGAGTTACAGCAATAATGAGCCCAACAGGATTTTCACATATGGGAAACTAGCTGGCTGCCTTTACACTTCAAGCTTACACTAAAAATTACCCTTGTTGTTAGTCCCACAAAATTTCTCAGAATCTCTTGTTATTATTAGCAGACATATGCAGAGATCTTTCAGAAAGCATTATCAGACTAGGAGAGATCCTGTCTCTAAACCTGCAAAAGCAGTCCCAGCCCAGACTGAGGCATTTCTTGACCTCAGAGTTGCTAAAAAAACCACAAGTCTCTCCTCCACTTTTACCCCTGCTCATCTTTTCTTATTATCCAGCTTCTAAGTCCTCTGCCTTGCTGAATGAAGGTGCAGACAGGCTGAAGAGGGAGCTCTCAATCTCTACTCAATAAGAAAGAAACAAAGGGAAAAAAAGCACATCTAACACTTTCTGAGCTGCCTGCAAACTACACGGGGCAAAGTATTAGCTTACCTCCCTTGAAAAATTATGCTTATACGAGCCTGGTAGAAAACAAGGGCTAAATGAACTCAAGTGAAACACCTTCATGAGCTTCCTTTTATCTTGGAAATTAGGTATCACTAGGAATACAACACCTCCATCAATGAGCACAAAAGCAAAGACTTGTATTAGAAGCTGGGTTAAGATTTTTGCAGTAAAAATGCTCTATGTTTGCCTGCTTACCACAAACTCCAGATCTCACCTGTAAAAAGCCCGAAAACCAGTGTACTAAACCCATCAAAATGCAGTATTTGAATAGAGGGATACACTTCCCATTACTCTCCCAAGAAAGCTATGTGCCAATTTTGAAGACAGATCAGCCTGAACTTCGAGAATTTAAAGTCTGTAAGAGTTTATTTTCTTAAAGTCTGTAACAGTTTATTTTATGCCTACTTGCAATGCACTCATCCTAACACCACACATCGAAGCTATTTTTATACTTCTGCCAGCAAGAACAAATACCTGGTCCCAATTAAAAATTAAAAAAAAAAAAAAAAAGGCAAGCTGTTAAGCTGTTAATTTTTATGAATGTAACGTGTGTACAAGAGTCACTTGGAAATGAACATCACAATTAGACTTAATATTTGAAAGATGACAAAATAAGCTCCCTATCGATTTCTTTCTCTCTTTTAGGAAATTTATCTTTGTAACACACAGATACAGACTGCTATACCATGGATCAGTATTAGTCATCAAATCCCATAACATCAGAAACTAGTAACTCTCAATCACAGTAACAGATGCAGGGTTTTTTTGTAGAATGATATAAACATGCTTTTATACCATTTTTTAACATCAAAAAGAGTTATGCTCAAAACCACCACACTTGCTATATAAAATACAGCAAACACACACACACATATATATTTTATATACATATATATATAACCCAAATGAAATATTTGGGAGTAAAATATACTGAGATGGGGAACAACTCCAACAAGAATTCCAACACAGAAAAATACAGATAACATTTCAACTAGAAGAACTGTAAACACAGTTTAGCAGAGTATAAGAGCCAAAATAACCACGTGCTTGTGATTAAAGGAACTTCAGTGAACTTTAAAGGCATTTTAGGTAACATTTTCCCAAAAGGCAACAGCTCTACGACACGGCTACAGAAAGCACCGTGCTCCAAATGGTCATTTCAATTTCTAAGCTTGATTTGAAATCCTCAAATAATTTTTTTTTTTGGGGGAGGGAAGTAGGCAAATCTCTAAAAGGACCACCTAGAAAATCTAAGGACCTGAGACAGTTTACTCAGAGGAGGCTTCAAGCACTGAGCACTTAATGTGAACTTGAAAAGCTAATTACTATCTCCCAGGCACCCTGCTAGCACATGACCAGAGACTTTGCTGCAGCAGTTTAAGATATTATTGCCCTCAGCCCACCATCCTCTTCTGCCACAGACCACTGGCTACTGCGAAGGTGGCTGAATTTGCTGAATTTCTACACCACTGTAGCTTACAGTGTAATAACACCTTTGCCAGAAGTCATTGCTAAGAAACGTTATCTGAATTTCCACAACCCAGCCTTCCATGCTCTGTGCCATCCAGTACCACCAGCAATGAAGACACGTGGGAAAACACCGTGTAATCCGTACAACCACACTGTTGTACAGTCACTGCCAGGTTTTCTCGTGGCTGGCCCCACTTTTTGCCCTTACCTATTATGCATCTGATCTAAAATGATACGACGTCACTGACTGAAGACAAAAAACAACAGCAATGCACCTGCTAATCCAGTGGAACACTAGATGAACCAAGACTTACAGCCCTGAAGAGTCAAAACTGCACTGCAACGTGACAGACTCACAACTCGCTGCAGGACTGGGTTTCCAAAGAACAATCCACCACACAAAGAGCTCCTGTGCTCAGGCTGGAGATGCCGAAACCATCACTACCAAAAAAAGCCATCTCTGGTACAGAACTGAGGGACAAGCTGATACACCAGATGGCCGTGTGACCACGCAGAGGGACACCAACAGGCGGGAGAAATGGGCCAACAGCAATCACAGGAATTTCAGCAAAGGGAAATGCCAAGTTTGGACAACACTCTGAGGCGCATGGTGGGATTCTTGGGGTGTCCTGTGCAGGTCCAGGAGTTGGACTTGGTGATCCTGTTGTGTCCCTTCCAACGCAGCATATTCTACAATTCTAAGTCCTGCAGCGGGGGTAGAACAACCCCACGCAGTGGCACATAAGAAAACAAAGATTTTTTTTTTATTTTTTTTTTTTAACTTTAGGGCTGATCCAATAATGGAACAG